ATTTAAAAATCAATTTAAAGTAGCATATTCTGACTGGTGATCAAAATTAAAAGAAAAGTAAATAGATATATACCTACATCAAAAATGTATCATTATAAATTAGTTACATACTTACAAAGCAAATGAAATGAATTGAGATAGAAAATGGAAATACAGGGGCTAGCAGTTTGAGCAAATGTGGCCTTTGAGTTACATGTTTAATACATAGAATCATCAATAGGCTTGCCTTTTTGCAAGACTAAGCAGGCAACTGCTTGGAAAATGGTCACCTTGAGCACTTTTACCACAGCAGGGTCAAAAATGAGGCAATGAGTTTGCAGACCCAGGAACCTAAAGGCAAGCACCATGAGAAGGAATAGGGAACAGAAGGATTGACATCACCAGAGAGAAACTCCCCCACTTGATGATATGAATCAAACAGTTTTTGCCCGACTTATTGAAGGGAAGGTCTGGTAGAGAAGGAGTGCTTTAATGTAATCAATTAAGAGAACCTTCTCAGAGATGTTTTAGATCCCATAATTTCAAATTATGACACTATACTAAGTCCTTTTGATCCAACCCTAAAATGTGTCTCTTTTTTCCCAGAGCACAGCTGCTTTCAGTCTTCCAGTTGAGCCAACATTATTAACTCAACCCAGTCATGTTGAGATAGACCAGATATGCTGTGATAGACCAGTACATATAATGATTTATGCAAATACTTATATAAAGAACACAATTAAGTACTTCATACTTATCACTTCCTTTAATTGCACTTTTTAGTAACTCCATGGTGCCAGTTTGTGTTGTTGTTGTTGTTGTTGTTGTTGTGTGTGTGTGTGTGTGTGTGTGTGTGTTTCATGGTCAAGGATTTCTTGGTTCTTTTAGCAGGATACACCTGTCTAGAGAAACTGGCTCATTTGTTATAATTAATCTCCATCAAAAAACCTGTTGGAAAGTCAAACAGGAAAGGGGATTATGGTTTATGAACACACAAAGCCAATATAAAGACATAAAAGAAACAGACCAGCTCTCAGGCACCAGTGAGCCACCTTCAAAACCTTAAAGGAGAAAACATATTTAATATTAAAATACTCCAACCAAACAATATGCACCTTCAGTCTATATCCCTAGATAATTAGACCTGAAAGATCTAAATACATTGCTACTTTTGTTGAAAGATTCTGCTGTGACATACACAGTGAGGTCTGCATTATCTAAGAAAAGAAATCAGAAAGTGTCGAGCTTCTCTGTGAGTCCTTGTTGACAGTTAACTTTTCTAAGTCATGTGTGTCCATGAGGATAACATGGGCAGAGTAATGCGGGGGGCAGGGCTGGGGTAGAGGGACCTCCCTGATGCTCCAGGTGCTGCCCTGGATGCATTTGCTGTCACTCATCCCACAGGTGTGGAGCAAGAACTCAGTGAGGGGGTGCAGCTGAGAGAGCCAGGAGACCCTGAAAAAGCTGGTGCTGTTCACAAAGCCTGCGGACTCTCTTTGCTTCCCAGACAGTACTGTAGCTTTCTTATGAAAAATTATCTGTCTTAAAAGGTTTCTCATGTGCCTCACTCATAACTACTTAGAGCCTTGGAAATGTGGTGACGTTACACATTAGTTGAGCTTGGTTGGATAAGTAATGAAAATAAAATTTGCTTTCCTTACACTAATACTATAAAACAGCTACTATAAATAGTGTTTTACATTAATAATATACTACATTTAAAAAGCATATAATAACCCTGGCCAACATGGCTCAGATGGTTGGAGTGTCATCCCATACACTGAAAGGTGGTGGGTTTGATTCTCAGTCAGGACAAATACCCAGGTTGTGGGTTCAAACCCAGGCCAGGAGTATGTGTGGTGGTAGGAGGAGGAGAAGCAACTGATGGATGTTTCTCTCCTCTCCTCTTCTCTCTCTCTCTCTCTCTCTCTCTCTACTGAGGAATAAGCCTCTGTGCTATGAGTTGCTATCTGGAGAAACCCATGTGACCCAGCACTGAATGAGACCAACAGAGAGAGAGGAAGTCAGGCCTTCCATCCACACTGTAGTCTCTCTCTCTCTCCCCCTCCCCCCCCAAAAAATCAATAAAAATTAAACAAATAAAAAACAAATTATATGATATATTTATAGTTGCATGCTTAAAATATTCATGCACAGACAGGGGAAAGAAAACATGGGGCATATACCAAACTATTTACTCTAGAAAGGGGGATTATGCACACTCTATTCTGTGATCCAAAAGCTCAGAGATTTGTCCCCTGGCCATTTAACTAGTTAGTGACAGGGCAAGGACAAGAACCCAGGGCTACTAACCCCTAACTCCGTGGTCGGCAAACTCATTAGTCAACAGAGCCAGATATCAACAGTACAACGATTGAAATTTCTTTTGAGAGCCAAATTTTTTAAACTTAAACTATATAGGTAGGTACATTCAACTTTAAATTCACGGTTTTTGTCTTCTGTTTTTCTTTGCTTCTTCTTTGTAGCCATTTCAAACAGGGCACCTAAAAAATATTTCATTTTATAATAATAAAGCCACCAACACAAAAAAATTACAATTCTTAAATTGATGACAAAAATACCTGTAGGATTTGCAGCTGGTTGAAAATTACAGGTAACTTTATGCTTTGAGTAGGTACTTTTGTCACCCGCGCGCAATTTGCGGACGCGACTGGCACTAACCACTGCACAATGAGACTACTGACTGACTGGCTCACTCAACTTGTGCATGAAGCGTGCACACCTCTCCCACGTTGTGTATCCTGCTGCCTGCCTGCGCTGCGTCTCCAGACCTACCAACACCCCCACTTCTTCTAATGCCACTTCTTCAAAATAGACTCGCCCAGGCCGAAAACCCATTTCTGCACATGGGCCGCAAGGTTTCAATCGCACTGTATGTGCGCGCCCGCATATGGTGAAGAGCCATACTCAAGGGGCCAAAGAGCCGCATGTGGCTCGTGAGCCGCGGTTTGCCGACCACTGCCCTAACTCATAGCCTTTGCCTCCATATCATTATCACCATCTTCTCCAGAAAACTAAGGCTTCCCAATCAGTACTTCAGCTCACTATAACATCATAGACATTTTTGAGAGTTTATAATATCTTAGGAACCATAATAAGCCTTGAATATATAAAACCAAGAAAAATAACTTGCTCTATCCCCAAGGGTGTCAAGATGCAAAACAGAACAGCATGCTAGGTAAAGTGACAGAACAAACTAGGTCTGTTCCTCAGGAAATCCAGAAATGCTTCGCACACATAGATATGCTTGAGTTGGGTCTTGACATTTGTGCATCCAAATTCACACATTGCCATTTCTCCAATATTCTCCATTTTCCCCACACTCCAGAAGAAAGTAGGCTCCATCTTTGAAATGCAGTGGATCCCTGACCTAATATTGGTTTGTTTTGTTTTTATTGTATGTGGGACTAGAGGTCCGGTGCACGGATTCGTGCACCAGTTGGTCCCTCAGCCTGGCTTGTGGGGATTGGGCCAAAACTGATTCTCCGACATCCCCTGAGGGGTCCCATATTGCGAGAGGGCAGTTCTTGGGTGATGCATCCTGGAATCTGGCTTCCTCCTCTCTGGTTCCAGGTGCATCACCCAAGAACTGCTGCTCCTGCACTGAGTGTCTGGCCCCTGGTGGTCATTGCACATCATAGCTACTGGCCGTTCACTTAGGCTTTTATATATATAGGTAATTTGCTATATTCAATTGTCTTACTCTCTTTTTTTGTTTGATTGATTTTTTTTCTTTTTGTTTATTTTCTTGCTCTCTTAACTTGAACTTATTTTCTTATTTTCAGGTCTGCTTCTGTACATGTAAAATATCAGTCTTCAAATGAAATAAAATACTTCTCTAAGATTTAGTCATTCATTCCACTTTTTTTTTAATTTGCCATATAAAAACAAATAAAAATGTGAAAGAAGGGATATTTTTCAACCAGTCGTGTTGTGAATATTTAAACACAGGTCAAGAACCCAAAGCTCTCAGTTCTCAAGTATATCATGCTCCTATATTTTAACAGATGCAATGCTGTTGGTGGCAGAGCGACTGGAAGGACCTTTCAACATTGAGTCGGTCATGGACCCTATAGATGTCAAGATCTCTGAAGCCATTATGAACATGCAAGAAAACAGCATGCAGGTGTCTGCAAAGGTATTTGCATTAGTCATATGTCTACTAATAAGGAAAGAGTAGTAATCTAAAAATTAAGTAACTAGATATGTTGGCTGGGATTATAAATTCTAATATATTGTCAGTGAGCTTTTCCTGTCAAGCTACAAATTTGCTACTTCATTAAAAATGTCTAACAAACTGGCATTGAGAAAGGAAGCAATCTTTTTGCTCACAACTACTCAATCATGAAGAAATTATTGGCTGCTAAAAAGTTTCGGAGAGCCTCAAGTATATTGACTAATCCCTGACATTTGTGAGCAATTTGGGGGGGAGGTGGGAGAGTGGATTTAATGTTTGAAATGTCTACACACTCTAACCCTGTTCTCTCTTGAGGAACTTCTAATTATATCTTCAGCTGTGCAAGCCAGGCAAATGTTCTGTATGTTCAATTGTAAATAATTAAACATTCCATCTGACTTCCTTTTTTAAGACTATGGTGTAACTTTCATTAATGTATCTTCAGGGGAAAATGCTCCTTTGTATGAAGTCAAACACACATTCAAAGAAAAAAAGTAGTTCATTTTCATAAATCATGTGAGATGTAGCTTTTGGGTTTGCAGCTGCAGAGCACAAATACCAGGTGCAGGATTTTGATTTGTTCCCACCCATTTGAAGATAAACAGGACCCACCTTAAACAAAATTGAGAGGTTTGCAATGGGTACCCAGCCATTCCTTCATCACGCTTTTCACCCACATTGATGACTGCATAATGCCCTTCTGTTCTTTTGACCAGTCACCTTGTCCTGAAACACTAACCAAATCTATATCAGTTTTTTAAACCTGGTGACTGACTGAGTGATTGCATTTTAACAGAAAGTCATTCATACAAATAAATATCAGGCAAAGAGTTGGCTTAGCTTCCTTTGATTTTAAAATCCTTTGTGAAAGGGATTTCAAATCTAATCAAGGAGGAGGGAATGGGTGGGGGTGGGGAGAGCAGAGAGAGAGAGCCATAGAATCCAACTAGGTCTCTTGGCTGAGTATGAATCAAACTAGATTTGGGCTTTTCAGGGTGGACTAGTAGAATGTCGGGAAGGAAGAAATCTGTCCTGGGAGATGGATGAGCTGAGAGTTTCATAGGCCTTGTCCTGGGTTTTAATGAGTTTGTGATATCTGGTGTAAAGAAGGATTCTCTAAATTCGCCATTACCTGTTAGAGAAATAGCACATTTGATGGTTCCATGAAAATATATTTTCTTTCTTTCCCGTCAAAAAATAGCAGTCATCTCGTCCTCTCAAACCTATTGCCTAGAAACAAATGAATGTTGCTTTGAGAGGCCAAACATCCCTGCAGCGCTTGAGTAGCCAGACACTAAAGTTGCTGATGTTCAAACTGCTCTAGAGAAAAGGGCGTGAAAAACCACATAGACAAAACTGTCTGTGACTTGAGAGCACCCCACACTTCTTAGAGGCAGAGGGAGCCCATCAAGCTAGACATGTACATATACATGTTCAAGTCTAATTATTCTATTAAAAATTATCTAAGTCTTAGATGGACTCTTTTTATTACCAGAATATGGATGAGACATTTTTGTGAAATTTGTCCAATTATTTTAGAATAGTATGGCTGTTCACAGGACTATACTTTTTATTGTACTATTACAAATGTCCCCATTCTCCCCAACCCTTTGTCTCCCTCCACCCAATCCCCACTCTGACCATCACCACACTGTTGTCTGTATCTTGGGTTATGCACATATGTTCTTTAGCTAATCTCTTCACCTTCTTTCATCCAGTCCTCCTTTCCCCCAGCCCCTCTGACAGTTGTTCCATGTATCCATGCCTCTGGTTCTATTTTGTTAAGGAGACATTTCTTTGTAAAAATTGTCAAAATCAAGAGTAGAAATAATATAGAACATGTGAGAGTACACTCACATGAGAGTTTATAGTATGAAGGGTCATAAAATAGTAGTACCAAAAATGTCAAATGAGCTAGAAACATGTTTAAAAGGTGTATCTGGTAGTCTTGACATAGAGAAAGGGGATGGAGTGAGTTAAGGAAGGGAGAAGAGGAGGGCAGCTGGAACTCTGTGGAAAAGAGGGTTGGGACAGGAGGCAGAGTCTG